TTTTTTTTTGAGTTAAAATCTCACTCTTTTGCCCAGGCTGGAGTGCAGAGACCATGCTTGCGGCCACTACAGCCTTGACCTGCTGGACTCAGGCTATCCTGCCTCAGCCTTCCAAGTAACTGGAACTCCGGGCATGCGCCACCATGCCCGGCTAATTTTTTGATTTATTATAGAGACGAGGTCTCACCATGTTGCCCAGGCTGGTCTTGAACCCTTGGGCTCAGGCAGTCCTCTCACCTCTGCCTCCCAAAGTGCTGGGATTACAGGTGTGAGCTACTGTGCCCAGCATCAGTTACTTTTAAAGACTTGAATCTCGGAGATATGTACTGGTACGTGAATATCTGTTGATTTTATTTACATTCGTACGCCTCCGGCACTCTTCTCACTTAGGCTTCCCAAAGCCTGGGATTACAGGTTTGAGCCACTGTACCCAACCGGAGTTGCATTTTTAAACCCTTCCTCTCTTCACCGCCCCCATTTGAAAAAAATACAGCACCATCTACTTTTTAAATTTTTAGGTAATTTTTATGTTGAGATAATTGTACAAATTATTGAAAAATTTATTTTGAGAATTGTAAAATTTGAAGAAATTGTACGTACAAGTTTATTGTGTGCAGTCATAATAAACAGTACAGAAAGATCCCGTGTTCTTGTACCCACTTCTCTCTAGTGATAACATTTTGCAGAGTTGTAGTAAATATTGCAGTCATATATTGCTGTTGACAAAATTCGAGATACAAAACATTTCCATCCATAAGGCTCCCTTCTGTTACCTTTCTATGGCCATGCCCATATCCCTTTCATCTTAAATCCCTCAACTCCTGGCAACCACTATCCCACCCCAGGTTGTTTCATGTTTCAGTAATTTGTTCCTTTATTGCATCCTGGCTATGGATGTGCCACATATACCACAAATAGTTGGTTTAAGGCCAGGCGTGGTGACTCATGCCTGTAATCCCAGCACTTTGGGAGACTGAGGCAGGAGGATTGCTTGGGCCCAGGAGTTTCAGACCAGCCTAGGCAACATTAGCAAGACCTTATCCCTGCAAAAAAATAAAAAGATTGGCCAAGTGTGTTGATGTGTGCCTGTAGTCCCTGCTACTCAGGAAGCTGAGGAGAGAGGATCACCGGAGCCCAGTAGGTCCAGGCTACGGTGAGGTGTAATCATGCCGCTACACTTTAGCCTGGATGACAGAGTAAGATCCTGACCAAAAAAAAGAAGGTGGTTGAACTGGTCACCCGTTGAAGGAAATCTGGACTATTTCTATTCTTCAGTTATTACAAATAAAGCTGCCATAGACATTCATGTACAGGTTTTTATGTGATTATCAATTAATATTTCTCTGAGATCAGTGCCCAGAAATGCAAACACTAGGTCACACTGCATACTTAGTTTTGTTTTTTTGGGTTTTTTGAGTCGAAATCTCACTCTGTCACCCACCCAGGCTGGAGTGCAGTGGCACACTCAAGGCTACCACAACCTCGACCTGTTGGGCTCAGGAGATCTTTCACCTTAGCCTTCCAAGTAGCTGGAACTACAGGTGTGAGCTACCATGCTCGGCTAATTTTTAATTTTTATTTATTTATTTATTTTTTTATTTTTGAGTTGGAGGCTCACTCTGTTGCCCAGACTGGAGTGCAGTGGCTGCTCCCGGCCACCGCAGCCTCGACCTGCTGGGCTCCGGCGATCCTTCTGCCTCAGCCTTCCGAGCAGCCGGAATTACAGGTGTGTGCTACCACGCCCGGCTAATTTTTTGATTTATTGAAGAGATGAGATCTCGCCTGCCCAGGTGGGTCTCGAACCTGCGGGCTCAGGCAATTCATTCACCTCAACCTCCCAAAGGCGCGGGATTACAGGCTGAGCCACCGAGCCTGGCTTAATTTTTTATTTTATTGTAGAGATGAGGTCTCACCATGTTGCCCAGGCTGGTCTTGAACCTGTGCTGGGATTACAGGTGTGAGCCACTGTGCCTGCCCTGGTAAAAAATAAATAAATAAGTGAATGAATGAATGAATGAATAAGGTGTGAGCCACTGTGCCTGGCCTGGTAATAATAAATAAACAAATACATTTTATTATTTGTTTATTTGAGCTGGAATCTCACTCTGTCACCTAGGTTGGAGTGCAATGGCATGATCATGGCTACCGCAGCTTTGACCTACTGGGCTCAAGCAGTCCTTCCACCTCAGCCTGGAACTACAGGCACGCGCCTCCATGCCCAGATAATTTTTTGATTTATTGTAGAGATGAGGTTTTGCCAATGATGCCCAGGCTGGTTTTGAACTCCTGGGCTCAGGCAATTCTTTCACCTTGGCCTCCCACAGTGCTGGGATTACAGGTGTGAACCACCACGCCCGGCCTTAATTTTATTTTTTATTTCTAAATTTTTTAGAGACACGTCCTTGCTGTGTTGCCCAGCTTGGAGTGCAGTAGCTATTCAGTTTCAATCATAGCACACTATGGCCTCAAACTTCTGGCATTCTAGTGATCCTCCCTCCTCATCTTCTCAAGTAGCTGAGACTACACATATGCGTCACAGCATCTGGCTGCCTTTCCCCGTCTAATATTGTCTTGAATGTTACCACTATGTACATGTAAAACTATGTCAGATATGTTATAATTTTTGCTTCAACCATCAAACATCATTTGGGAGACTCGAGAAGGAAATTATATTTACCCACATATTCTTTATATTATTCTTTCTTCTTTCATTATTCCCTTTCAGTTTGGAGAACTTCCTTTAGCAGTTCATTTGGAGTTGATCTCCTGGTGCAAATTCCTAGTTTTTCTTCATCTGAGAATGTCTTGATTCCCCTTTCATGACTGAAAGGTATTTTTGTGGATATATGATTCTGAGTTGACAGTTCGTTCCCTTTGACACTTGAAAATGCTGTGCCAGTTCCTTGGCCTCCATAGTTTCTGATGAGAATTATAGTGGTGTTCAAGTTTATTTTTTCTTTCTTGTATATAGTGCATCGTTTCTCTCTAGCTGCTCTCAAGGCTTTTTCTTTGTGTTGAGTTTTCCGAAGTTTATTATGTGTCTTAGTGTGCCTTTCTTTGGATTTGTTTTTTTTTTTTTTTCTGTGAACTTGCATAGAGAAGTATGGGTTTATTCTGTTTGAGGTTTGGTCAGCTTTTTGAGTCTGTAAGTTTACGCCTTTTGTCTTTTTCGGGAGGTTTTTCAACTATTATATCTTTAGATACTTTTTCAGCCCTTCTGTCATCTTCTGGGACTCTGATGACATGAATGTTAGATAGTCCCCCACTGTTATAGTCCCACATTTCCCTGAGGCCTGTTCATTTTTTTCAGTCTTTTTTCTCTTTTTCATATTGGGTAATTTCTTTTGTTTTATCTTCAAGTTCACTGATTTCCTCTGTCTTCTCCATTCTGCTATTTAACTCTTCTGTCACGTATTTTTAAATTTTGGTTAGTGCCTTTTTCAGTTCTGATATTTTGATTTTGTTCTTTGTGTCTTCTTTTTCTTTGCAGGAACTTTTTAGTTTTCATTTGTTTCAGGCATGATCATAGTTGCTCATGGAAGCATTTTGATGATGGCTCTTTTAGAATCTTTGCTGGGTAATTCTAACATCCGTGTCATCTTGGTGTTGGTGTCTATAGATTGTCTTTTTGCTTGTTTGTTTAAGTTGAAATCATCCTGGTTCTTGATGTGAGGAGTGATCTTTGACAGCAACCAGTACATTTTGGGTATTATATTATGAGACTCTTGATCTTATTTAAATCTCTGAGCAGAGCAGAGCAGGCTTCCTCTGACTACTGGGAGACAGGACTGCTGCCTCATTATTGCTGGGTGCAGTATCTGAGGGCAGGGGCTCCTTGTTATTGTTGTATGGTTGTAGGAGTTCCCTATCAGGCCTTGGTGATACCACTGCCTGGGAAGGGAGGAGTGCTGCCACTTTACTGCTGGGTGGAGTTGGAATCCACGCTCCCTGCCTGATATTGTGGGGAGGGAGGTGGGGAGTACTTTTTATCACCAGCTGGGGATGAAAGTCCATGGTCTCTACTCTGACATCACCTGAGTAGGGCAAGGGTGGGGGCCACAGTGTTTTCTATGGAGTTTGGCTGCAGGTGAGCAGTTGTTTAAAAGTTTTCCACTTGCTGCCCTTGTCTGGGTCCTTTGGCTAGAGAGAGCTGACTTTAATTGCAGCTTTTTTTGTCTACATCTGTTGGCATTTCTGAGTTGTACACTTCTCCATTACCTAGTCTGCGACATATGAAATAAAAAGAAAATCGAGAACTCAATGCTCTTTCTTTGGGTCCCAAAGAAAGTCTGCTTTCTTCTGTCTGCCTTTTTTTTTCTTCTTCTTCTTCTTCTTAGTCAGTCTGCTTTCTTCTGTCTGCCTTTTTTTTTTTTTTTTTAAAGTTGGAGTCTCACTCTGTCACCCAGGCTGGAGGGCAATGGCACGCTCATGGCCACTGTAGCCTTGACCTGCTGGGCTCAGGTGATCCTTTCACCTCAGTCTTCCAAGTAGCTGGAACTGCAGGCGCGTGCTACCATGACTGGCCAATTTTTGATTTATTGTAGAGATGAGGTCTCGTCACATTGCCCAGGCTGAAACTCATAGGCTCAGGCAATCCTCTTGTCACTGCCTCCCAAAGTGCTGGGATTATAGGCATGAGCAACTGTGCCCAGCCATCCTTTCAGAGTCTTTAAATGTAATGTCTCAGGCCAGGCACAGTGGGTCATGCTTAAAATCCCAGCACTTTGGGAGACCGAGGTGGGAGGATTGCTTGAGCACAGGAGTTCGAGACCAGCCTAGGCAATGTAATGAGACCTTGTCTCTACAAAACATTAAACAAAAAAAATTAGCCAGTTGTGGTGGTGTATGCCTACAGTCCCAGCTACTTGGAGACTGATGCAGAAGAATCACGAGTCCAGGAGTTTGAGGCTTCAGTGAGCCATGATCAAGCCACTACATTCCAGCCTGGGTGACAGAGTGAGACCACAACTCAAAAAAATTGTTTTTTGCAGGCATGGAATAACAGCCATGTAAGTAGCAAGCGCTGTGTTCTTGATTCATCATAAGAATGAGTCTTACAGAAAGAAAATGGAAAATATTTTCACAATGAGTTATCCTTTAAAATGATTGCCAGCCAACACAGTGATGCATGCTTTTTTCCCTCAAAGACTCATTTGCAAAGAAACTGTACAAGCTGTTTTTGCCAGATCTTGCCTTTTTAATTACTCCTCTGCCTCTCCAACTTATGTTGTTAGGTGTCAGTAGTCAGTTTATATCCCGTGTTCTATGTGTAAGGGACTTAGAGATGGCCCTCGAATAGGATGTTTCCTGTCTGACTCCGAACATTATAGGCACATACCTCCAAGGCTTTGTATTTCAGGCAAAACCATATTTAAGTATATCCTTTCCTAGGGACAGGGCATTTAACACTTAAAAACAAATTTTCAAATGGGTCAATTGTATGGTATATGAATTATATCCCAATAAAGCTGTTGTTTTAAAGAAAACACAAAATTTCCTTTGGTTTTTACTTTTTTTCTTTGTATATCTTGTTTCTCCTAAATATATAGGGTTTTTTGTTTTGATTTAAGAAACAAGGTCTTGCCATGTTGCCTAGGCTAGTCTCGAACTCCTGGGCTCAAGGAATCTTCCTGCCTGGGCCTCCAGAAGTGCTGGGCATATAGGCATAAGCCATCACACTCGGCCCCAAGTGTAGGTTTATTCTTACATCTCAGTGGATTAAAACTTGTGTCATTTTGTGTACTTCATTGATAATGATAGGTTCACTTATTCACTTACATTCTTCTTAGATTTTTTTTGATGTTGTTCGTTTTTGCTGTTGTTGAGGCGAGGTCTCACTATGTCCCCCAGGCTGGAGTGCAGCGGCACGATCACAGCTCACCATAGCCCCGAACTGGATTCAGGCAGTCCTTCCACCCCAGCCTCCCAAGTAGCTGGGACTACAGGCATGCACTACTATGCCTGGCTGATATTTTGATTTTTATGTACAGATGCGGTCTCACTATGCTGCTGGCTAGGCTGGTCTCAAACTCCTGGGCTCGAGATTCTCCTGCCTTGGCTCCCAGAGTGGTGGGATTACAGGCATGAGCCATTGCACCCAGCCTCAGTAGATGTTAAAAAAAAAACACTTTGAGATATAATTTACATACCATACAATTCACCCATTTAAATTGTACAGTTGAATGTCTCAGTATATTAGAGGCCTGTGAAACCATCAGCACAGTCTAGTTTTAGAGCATTTTTATTCTCTCCTCCCAAAAGCAACCCCTATATCTACTGAGAGTCACTCCTCATCCTCTCCTTGTTCCTCTACCCCAGTCCCAGCCCACCACTCATTTGTTTTCTGTCTGGTCTGTATAGATTTGCCTATTCTGGACTGTGGTAGTATGATATGTATTACAGTAAGTCCCCTACATATGAATAAATTTCATTCTGAGAGTGTGTGCATAAGTCCAGTTTGTTTATAAGTCCTACAAAGTTAGGGCCAGGCGTGGTGGCTCACACCTGTAATCCCAGCACTTTGGGAATTGGAGATGAGAGGATTGCCTGAACCCAGGGGTTTGTGATCAGACTGGGCAACTTGGTGAGACCTTGTCTCTACAATAAATCAAAAAATTAGCCAGGCGTGGTGGCACATTCCTATAGTTCCAGCTACTTGGGACACTGAGGCAGAAGGATTGCCTGAGCCCAGCAAGTTGAGGCTGCTGTGGTCGTGAGTGTGCCACTGCACTCCAGCGTGAGCAGCAGAGTGAGACTCCAACTCAAAAAGTTAGCCTAGGTACCCAACTAACACAATCTCCTATCTAGTACTGTACTATAATAGGTTTGTAATACTTTTCACAAAACACACAAAACATAAACATTTTTAATCTTACAGTGCCTTGAAAAGTACAGTAGTACAGTATGACAGCTGACACACAGGGACTGGCATCAAGTGAACAGGCAAGAAGAGTTACTGACTGAAGGAGGGAGAGGAGGTGGGAAATGGCGGAGCTGAAGGTTTGTCAGCAATAGAAGATGGAGGGCAGGCTGCAGTTTAACTCACACCTGATATTGACGGCAGTTTCTGGTTCCTTGCTGGATTCATTTCAGTTTACTCTTTTGAAAAATGTACATGTGTATTTTTTAAAGTTCACAACTTGAAGATTCGTATATAGAGGACTTACTGTGTGTGTGTGTGTGTGTGTGTGTGTGTGTGTGTGTATACATATATAAAATGTGTGTGTCTGTGTGTGTGTGTATTTTTTTGTTGTTGTTCATGGTTCCTGGCTCATTACTCCCATAGCATTTGTTATTTCCTAAGTAACTAAAACAATAAGCATATCTTTTGTTAAAAGTTTTGTCCAGCCAGGCATGATGGCTCATGCTTGTAATCCCAGCACTTTGGGAGACGGAGGTGAGAGATTTGCCTGAGCCCAGGGGTTTGAGACCAGCCTGGGCAACTTGGCAAGACCTCATCTCTACAATAAAAAAATCAAAAAATTAGCTGGGCATAGTGGCACACACCTGTAGTTCCCAGCTACATGAAAGGCTGAGGCAGAAGGATCACTTGAGCTCAGCAGGTCAAGTCTGGTGGTTATGAGTATGCCACTGCACTCCAGCCTGGGTGACAGAGTGAGACTCCAACTCAGAAAAAAAAAAAAAAAAAAGTGTTGTCTTTTTGCCCTTTGTTTCTAAAGCAGCTTTGAATAGTTTCAGAGTAATAAAGGTGAAAGACAATCTTTTGTTATAGTGTTGGGGCACTTTAGGCCTCAGAAGCAGACCTCTTGTCCACCTTTCACCTGCTCCTTTTTCTCCCCAAGGCAGGCCATAGAAACTAAAAATACACTCTAACTTCCTTCTGCCCTTCTGTCTTGGAGCTGCCCATATAGAAATTCTCTGACTTACCTTGTCTGATTGTAGGTCATAAGACCCCTATTTCAGAACGGGTCCTGCCTCACACCCCGGAAGAAAGAATGCTTCACAGAGGCCAAGAATAATCTGGACACGCCTGACTGGGTTTCCCCACTCAGTCTATTAGTATGCAATCATACCCTTTTTGTCCAACCACATTTCTACATAGTTGTCCTTCAGGCTTGCCCAGTGGAGTCTCTATCGAAGGTCTGAGAGGATGAGGAGTGAAGAGCTTTGGATAGCTGAACCAGCAGAAGTCTCTAGAGGGCAGCATTCCAGGGGAGGGTGTGGTAGCTCCACACCTCTTCCCATGTCTCATCCTATGCAACTCTTCATCTGTATCCTTTGTAATATTCTTTTTTCCTTTTGAGTTGATGTCTCACTCTGTTGCCCAGACTATAGTGCAGTGGTCCGATCTTGGCTTGCTGCGGCCTTAACCTTCTGGGTTCTGGTGATCCTTCCGGCTCAGCCTCCTGAGTAACTGGGACTACAGGTACATACCACCATGCCCAGCTTTTTTTTTTATTTTTTGTAAATAACAGGGTCTTACTGTGTTGTCCAGGCTGGTCTCGAACTTCTGACCTTAGATGATCCTCCTGCTTTGCCTTCCCAAATTGTTGGGATTACTGGGGTGAGCCACTGTGGCCGGCCCTTTGTAATATTCTTTGTAATAAACTAGTAAACATACGTGTTCTCCTGAATTCTGTGAGCCATGTTAGAAAATTAATTGAACCCAAGGAGGGGATCATGGAATCACTGATTTCTAGCTTGTTGGTCACAAGCACAGTAAAACAGCCTGGGGCTTGCAATTGACATCAGGAGAGGATGGTCTTATGGGACTGAGTAACCCGTGGGATCCGGTGTCATCTCCAGGTAGGTAGAGTCTGAATTGAATTGGAGGACACCCAGCTGTTGTCTGTTGCAGAACTGATTACTTATTTGTGCTGAGACCTCCCCATACATTTAATCACAGAAGTCTTCTGTGTTTAGTATGATAGCAGAGAAAAACAGTTTTTTTTTTCCACACATGGAAATTTCATATAAATGGAATCATAATATGTGGAATCATACAAATTGAGTCATATAAATGGAATATATCTTTTGTGTCTGGCTTTTTTCACTGAGTGTGGTTTTGTGGTATGTATTTGAGTCGGGATCTCCCTCCGTTGCCAGAGCTGGAGTGCAGTGTCATGATCACAGTTCACCGCAGCCTCAAAACTCCTGAGCTCAAGCAGTCCTCCTACATCAGTCTTCTGAGTAGCTGGGACTACAGGTGCATCCCACCACACTTGCCTAATTATTTTTACTTTTAGTTTTTGTAGAGATGAGGTCTTGCTATGTTGCCCAGGCTGGTCTCAAACTCCTAAGCTCAAGCAATCCTCCTGCCTCAGCCTCTCAGAATGGTGGGATTACAGACGTGAGCCATCATTCCTGGCCAAGGTGTTTTTAAGGTTCATCCATGTTGTAGTTTGTGTCAGTACTCATTCGTTTTTATTGCAGAATTCTATTACATTGTGTGTATATACCACATTTTGTTTATCAATGCATTTTTTTATTTATAAGAGACAAGGTGTTACTAAGTTGCCCAGGCTGTTCTCCAACCCCTGGAGTCAGACAATTCTCTTGCCTCTGCCTTCCAAAGTGCTGGGATTACAGGCGTGAACTACCACACCTGGCACTGTTTTGGTTTTATGAATAATGCTGCTATGAGCATTTCGTGTATAAGTTTTTTCTCTTGGTTATTTGCCTAGGAGCAGAATTGGTGGGTCATATGGTAAGTCTGTCCATTTGAAGAACTAACAGACTGTTTTCCAAAGTTAGCTGCACCATTTTACATTCCCACCAGAAATGTGTGAGGGTAATTTCTTCATATCCTCACCAACACTTGGTATTTTCTTTTTGGTCATATCTAGTCTAGTGACTGTTAAGTAGTATCTTTGTGGTT